CCTCATTTTACAGACGAGGACATGTAAGAATAGAGAGGTTAACGCACCTTACATAAATTGCGCAGCTAGGAAATAACAGTTAGGATTCAAACCTAAGCAGTGTGACTCCAGAGCCTGTTATGCCATATCGAGTAACTGGTACTGATTCTTTAACATTAAAATGTAGGTGTGGGCTTGTTTATTAACACCAGAAAATGAAATAAACAGAATTACATTTATTATTCAAGTATGTTTTTCTTTCATAGTATTAGGTTTTTAAATCTGTTTTAGACCCTTAATATATATGACCCCAAGTATATTTTAACTCTACTCCTTTTTGAAGTTATGCAAAAAAATTGAATGCAATGATTGTTTTTCTTTTGTATAAGCTGGTTTGCCAGGCCTATTTATTTGGAAAGTTTGTTTTCTTTAAATGCAAGAAATGACTTTAATTACTAATAATTCATGATACAAATTCTCAACCCTTAATTATTTAACTGTTGCCAATTTCTTCAAGTCCCTAATTTTACAGAGTGAATCACAAAATGCAAAGTGACATTCCAGATCATTCTTCTTTTAAGAAAAAAAGCTTCCATTTTTTCTTTATTGTGTTCATGTTTTCCTTTAAATCATTTAGATATTTATAATAGCTTTTTTAAAGTCCTTATTTGCTCATTTTATCATCTCTGTCCTTTTTGGGTGTGTTTTGACTGTATTCATTTTTTCCTCTTGGTTTTGGGTCACATTTTCCTGCTTATTCACAAGCCTAGTCATTTTTTATTGGTTGGTGGACATTGTGAATATTATGCTGCTGAGTAGTAAATTTGTTGTCTGTCTTTAAAGAGTGTCGAATTTTGTTTTGGAAGGCTGTTACAATATTCGCAGAATAGTTTGATTTTAAACTTTGTTACGGTAGGTCTAGAGTAGCCTTTACTCTAGGGCTAGTTTAGCCCTACTGCTTAGTATTTAGCCATGATTCTTCTGGGTCCCCTTCTCAATGTCCTTGACTATTCAGTGAAGCCTTTGCATACGGTCTAGTTGGCACGCTAATGTTTCCCAGCCCCATGTGAACTCTTGGAATTGTTCAGCTTACAGCTTTCTGGTAGTTGTTCTTTCCCTAGCCTTGTAGTGTTTCTTACCCTAACACATATGCCTTTGTTTTTAGCCAAAGGCTCGAGGGGATACCATGCAGATTCTAGACGTCTTTTTCTGTATAGTTTTCTCTCGTCCAGACTCTGCCTTACACATTCCAGCTGCCTTAGTCTCTCTGAACTCTGATCTCTGCTTTTGCACACACAGTATGACTGCTGTGCTCTTCTTGGGATCTTCCTTCCTGCTTCACTGTGTGGAATGTGCTTCCAGACAGTAAGGTTGGGCAATCCTGGGTCTCACTTAGTTTATTTCTCTTTCTCAAGGGTCATGGTGGCTGTGCATGAGATGCACTGGCTGGTAATGGAACCCAGGTCTCCTGCGTGAAAGGCAAGAATTCAGCCACTGAACCACCAGTGCCTCTCTTAGCTTTATAAGCCGTGTGTATGTAGCAGTTTCAGGAATAGCATATTAATATGGAAACTTTTTTTTCTCCTTTTGTCTGTTTATTGCAGATTGGTGTTTAACAGAAAAGAAAGTTAATACTTTGCTGTTGGCTGCTTTTTGACAACTGTTGGAGAGAGGCCAGACATAAGTGAACACTTGGGTTATTTCCACATTAGGTTGAGGTTGACTGTGGTTTGAAGATTGCTTTCAGTTTAGTCTTTTGAGTGACTACTGTGCCTGAAAATGTGCCAGATGCTTAGACTCCAAAGGTGTAGCCTCTAAAGGGTGTATGATCTAGTTGCGGAGAAAAACAGAATTGGATTTTCTTCTCCTTCTTTGGAGGAAGAAAATAATCAAATTTTATCATTCATTTTAACGGTACAAAAATTTTACAAAATTGGTAAGTAATACCTATCATTCTTTTCTAACTTTTGAAATCTTTTGTTTAGGTGAGACATGGAATCCATTAAAATTGCATTATCAGTTAAGAAATGTACGGGAACGATTAGCTAAAAACCTGGTGGAAAAGGGTGTATTGACAACAGAGAAACAGAACTTCCTACTTTTTGACATGACCACACATCCTCTTACCAACAACAACATTAAGCAGCGCCTCATCAAAAAGGTACAAGAAGCCGTTCTTGACAAATGGGTCAATGACCCTCACCGCATGGACAAGCGCTTGCTGGCCCTCATTTACCTAGCCCATGCCTCGGATGTTCTGGAGAACGCTTTTGCTCCTCTTCTGGACGAGCAGTATGATTTAGCCACCAAGAGAGTGCGGCAGCTTCTTGATTTAGACCCTGAAGTGGAGTGTCTGAAGGCCAACACCAACGAGGTTCTGTGGGCGGTGGTGGCAGCATTCACCAAGTAACTACTCAGAGGAAAGCCTTCTCCTTTCTCTCATGTAAACCAGTTTTTCTTCTATTGACTTCTGGTTTTCTGCAGTTTGTACTTTCCCACACTATAATTGGCTTTTGTTTTATGAAGATGGTGGGTGGCTTTTTCTTTTTTATATGTATGCAGGATTCTGCTGGTACGAGAGGCCTTCTGTTTCAATTTTTTTTTTTTAAATTCCTGTCATTGGCATTCCATTCCCTCTTGCCATTCTCACTGTTTACCGGCTTTGGCTTTCTGGTATGCTTTGACTTACAAAGTACCTCCAGTCTCCTCACATGCACATCTTTTGGATTACCTCAGCTTGAGTTTTCCCACATGTGCATGTACATCTAGCATTCTGCGTACAGTTCAGGCAGAAGTCACAAAAAGGCCTTTAACTCACCAAAGGTAAATATCTGTATCTGTTAGGACATTTTATACATAGACCTCAGTTGAGATGTATACTTAGCAAAATTATTTTTAAATTGAACAGCACAGTAAATACTTAATATAAAATGCCCCTTGGATTCTGCTTCCCATGTAAATCTATTGTATTATTATTACACTTGTTATAATTTTAACTATTAAATCATAAAGGTCCAGTTGTTTCACAAAGCCAGTTTGGGATGGGCTGCATTCCAGTTATGTTGTATATAGTTTGAATTATATATAAATTGCCCCTTTTTCTGGCCATGCCTGCCCCATCCCCCATCTTAGTATTTTGCAAGACTTAATTAGTTGTACACCTGGTGCCCCTCACTTGTTTCAGTCATTATCATTTGATGGCAAAACAGACCTCTCATCATTGAAGGAGAGAGGAAAGGTGTGTGTGTGGTTGGTCCCCGGAGTTCTTGAGCTGTGCCATTCCTGGTACTCTTTGCCTGTGCATTGCCTTTTTTGATTTTTTAAAAAATCATTTCTATAGGGAAGACGCTTGTGACCAGTACTAATCTTGAGTACAGTTTTTTCTTTTTCTGTCCACAAGTAAATTAATGTCTGCTCTTAAATGTCATTTATCTACTCACACTTTCTTGGAGGAAAAAAAAATCCAATGTCAGTCCTAGCAGATGTTGCATGTAAGTTGTTAGCAAGTAATGACTACAACTCAGATGATTACGATTTTTGTAACAGAAAGCTCTGCTATGTTTTAATTTTTATATACAATTATGATGATTAGCACATTGTAAGAATATAAACCTTTGCTTTTTAAAGTTTATTTTTACTATTTCTTTATCACTGTTTATCATACCACCATTGCTTTCATAATGTAAATACTATACATTGAACAAATTAAATGTCAAATTTTTTATTACCATAGTTCATGTTAATAGTGGGACTTTCAGGTGTTTAGAGATTTTTTTGGTTAACCTTCAGTGCAAAAGTACTAGATGGTGTATAACTCTAGAATTGAATTTTAAGGGATTCCCTAATATGTATACTATCTTTTTATCTCAAGTAATAAATAAACTATGATCTTGAAAGTGCCTGAATCAGCGCAAGCATGTCATTTGTATTTTTGTGTTCTTCGTTTCTTTTCAAATGCAGTTTTACTTAGCCTTAGTATGGCATCGTGATATTTTAATTCAGGACATAGCAGACTTTTTCTTAAAGGGCCAAATAGTAAATATTTTTGGTTTTACAGACCAGCTATGGTCTCTGTTGCAAACTACTCAATTCTGCCAAAATAAAGCTGCCGTGTACGATAACAATCAGTGGGCGTGGCTGTGTGCCTGTAAACCTTTATTTATGCAGACAGACAGCTGGCTGTGGGCCATAGGTTGCCAGCCCGTTTTTAATGCATGGAAAAAGATTTTCTATCTAGTAAGCTAAAACTTTACCTCCAAAAGTGATGCTGCTGGTGGAATTAAGTGTATTAATTTGAAGTTTCTTTCCATAAAATGGATACTGGAAATTGATGCTAGTATCCTGGAATGTCTTACCAGGTGAAGATTTACTATTTTCCCTTTGAAAAGATGTTAGAAGTGAGGTAATGGATGTTTCTAAGGTACTCTTCATTTCATAACAGCATTTATATTCCGAAGCAGAGGAGTAGAAGGACCTTGTCTGACCTTCTGTCAGTGTTTGCTTCAAAGCAGAGAGTACACTCAGCCCTACCTGTGTATGGCCCCAACTTCAGTATATGTTTCTATACCCAGAGGAGAGAAAAAGTAGTAAAATTGTGTGTGTGTGTGTGTAGGGGGTGGTGGGTGTTATCTAGAACTCTCTCCTATAAAATGTTAAAAGCAGGAATGATGTAACTCCATGGAAATTGTTCTCTGGTAGGAGCAGTATTTCCACTGGTGTATGTCACCTCAGTTCCAAGAATCAGGTAGTAAATTTTAGTATTATAATAAAAACTACATAGAAACCTGTTGTGCAGAGAATTAGTAGTTGCTTCTTTTTATGTTGTGTAATTGATGAATGTTCCTTAAAATAACTTGTTCTAGTACAATTCTTTAATGGAAAGGAGAAAGGAAATTTACTGAATGCATACTCTGTTGTTGCTGTTGTTGCCGCGTCCCGTCTAGTCGATTTTTGACTCATAGCTACCCCGTGTGACAGAGTAGAACTGGCCCATAGGATTTTCTAGGCTGTAATCTTTATGGGATCAGATTGCCAGGTCTTTCTCCTGTGGAGCCGCTGAGTGGGTTTGAACCACCAACTTTTGGTTAGCATCCAAGAGCTTAACACCACCAGGGCTCCTTTACTCTGTGCTGCTTAGTTATTTTATACCTTATTTTGGCCCCTTAAAATCCTAATTACTATTTTCATTTAATGAAGAAACAGGCTCAGAGAGAATTATTTGCCCAGTATCACAACTAGTAAGTGTTTGAGCTGGAAGTCAGACTCAAGTTTGAATTCCAACATCTCACATGACTTCTCAGTTTTGAGGCGCTGTTCAAATACCACCTGTTTCTAGAGCCATCACATGTTAGGTTAGTTCTAGACGATGCTGTTACTCTTGACTTTGTATCTACTTTCTAGCTGTAAGAGGTCCAGGCATAAGCAATACCTTGATAAGATGAAAACATTTAAAATTTATTTTCTGTTTTTTGTCCCAAATCAGTTAAGAAGACTTTGATTTTCTGCTTTAGCCTCTGGCAATATGATCAGATCCTTTTTTCAGTGAAAGTGGTACCTCTTCTGTCTTTTCTTGATGTGAGTCTGGGGCATGTTTTGAAGGAGATTGTCCTTCAGTTAACTCTTTCAGGAACTCAAATACTGAAATGGTACTGTTGGAGTGGGGTTTCACTTCGTGTAAATGTTTAAAAGAACAACTTTATCTGATTATAGAAGTAATATACTTTCATACATTCAGATAGAAATATACTTCAGAAAGTGAAAGTGCCCTGTGATCTTTCTTCTTTCTTTGCTGGTCTGATTGGTGATTGACACATACATTTTTCCATGTACATATATATTCATAGGTATAGAGATGTATTTATGTGTTTGTGTCTATGAGGTATCCCTCACTTTATAAACCTATTAACTTTTTGAATTTCAGTAGTGAGTTTGGATACTAAGGAATTCATCCTTGTTTTTTTTCCTTGAGTGGGTATAGTGAGAGTTCAGATAGTGAAGAAATCCTGTAATTTGGAATCATACTGTTACACGGTTTTCTTCTTTCATCCACTATATCTTGCAGAGCATTTTAGGGCAATTTTTGCTAAAGATTTGGAGAGATTCCTCAAATTGTCAATGAGTGAATGATTCAAAACTCCAAGAGAGCAGTACGATTTTTTAAAATCTAAAACCTTTATTTCTACTCAAAATTTCATTAAGAAATAAAGTAGGCACTACCCATGCTGATTTCTTCAAAGTTCTGAACTGTTTCAAAGATCTGAGCAGTCCAGTCAAGACTCCCCTGCCTTTGGCAGTACAGACAAAAAGCACTTTTTTCCATAGTCCAGCACCATGGACAAGTGCTGTTAACTGACTCTCCTTTGACCCTGTTAGTCCCAAGGAGATTGAGCAACAGTGACGACATTCAAGTACAATTTTCCCTGTCTTATTTGGGCACTAGGAGGGGACTGCTTTAACGGGCAGATCAGAATATCAGACATGCAAAAAATTCTCATGGTGGTACAAAATAGATTAATGGATATCTCTTGCTTACATATATTATCTTTTGGGGATGAAAAAGTTACCAATTCTACATGTTCTCAGAAGAAAGAAGCATTGTCAGATGTCACATGACCCCCAAAGACCCTGGCCAGCCAAAGCAAGATGGACCTGTGGTCTCTGACACATTCTACCACCCAGTTCTTCCAGAGTTTCTGAACAGGTGGGTGTAATACTCTTTAAAGCACAGCAAACCCTTGCATTTGGTCATCACCCAAAGCAGAGTGAAAAGGGACTAGTGTCTGACTCAGCGGCAGCATAGGACCAGTGAGTAATGACACCTAGCCTGATGATGACATGGGCCCAGGACAGCCAGGTATGGCTACTTTTGCCCCAGCAGCTTGGAAACCACCAGTCGTAAGTTTATGTGAGTATTTATGAAGTTTGTTTAATTTCCAACTCTATGGCCTCTCCATCTTGTGTTAACTTACTGTGTATTGTCAGATAATATTGCTTTGTTTCACTTTTATCCAGATAAAGGTAATTGACAAACAGGAAGTTTCCAGTTCACCTCAGATGATTGGGTCCAAGGATGCGATCCCTGGCTCTTGTAAATTCTGACACAAATGTCATACATTCTATAATAGCACCAGTAAGGTGGTGGTATTAATGTTCATAAGCTTGCAGGCTATCCCTCAAAGAGTACAGATATAGCTTAGTTGAATTAAATTGATAACCACGTTTTCTGCCCAGTGTTAGAATTTAATAGGCATTTACTCCTGATGGAAAAGTGGTCTAATATGACACCCACTAGGACCACAGTATACGTCTGTGAAATTTACTTTTTGCACTTAACACATTGTGGAGAGCTTGCAGAGTAAGCATACATAATTCTTTTTAATGGCTTCATCGTATAGCTTAGTTAAATCTATTAATGGATGTTTGGATTGTTCCCATGTTTTTTCCTATTTACAAATAGTATTGGATATTTTTGTATATATATCTTTATACATTTATCTGATATTTCTATAGGAGGAATTAATAGGAAGTATTAGAAGAGTATCCCTTGAAAATGTGAAAGATAAAGACAAATTGATTTCTAAGATTTATGTTAACTCCTCTACCCATAGTGCATGAATGCTACTTTCGCTACGCCCCAGCCAGTGCTGTAGAGGATATCATCAATCCTTTTGGTCTTTGCCAGGCTAATAGGGGAGAATTATCAAATTATTTTAATTATTGAGTTATCATTTACTATGTTGGTAATTTGTATTTTTCTGTGAATTATCTGTTCATGTCCTTCATTTTTCTAATGAGCATTTATCCCTTTTTTTCTTAATAAATAGAACTTTTCATATATTATGGATATTAACCCCATATCTGTGATCCAGTTGGTTTTCCCTGTCTTTGGAGTTGGTATATGGTAAGTTTGTTGTTGTTAACAATTGGAAAAGGGCACAGTGCCCAAGCATGCAGTCCTTGGAGACCTTAATTGCCCTATGAAAGAGCTGTGCCTGGTCATCAGATTTGGGATTATGCACATATATTTCACACACAAAAAAATTTTTTTGTATGATTAATACAACAAATGGAAAACTCCCAAATGTATAACTTATGAATATATATGTATGCAAACATTTCATTTAAAATTGATTAATACCAGTATATATGTATACAAACATTCCATTAAAAAATTTTTTTTTCCATTTAAAAATTTTTATGATTAAAATGCAAATGGAAAATCATATATAAAATGAATTGAGTAATGAATTATTTTAAGGCAAATACACTTGTAACCACCACCAGGTCTGGAGATAGAACCTTGCCAGCCACTCAGAAACTGTTCAGGGCTTCCTCTCAATTACAGCCTCCTCCCCAGTCCCTAAGAGTAATCGCTGTCCTGTCCCAGCATGCATCTCTAATCATTTTGTTCTGTTTTGTTTCTTTTTCACATGATACTCTTTAAAAGAAAAAGAGTTAAAAGAAAATCTATAGTTTCCTGTTTTTCCCTTGCAGAATATTTGTTGATGAAATGGAATCATTTGTCCTGAGTTTTCCACAGTTTGGATTTTGGTGATTGCATCCACATGGTGTATTTAAAATGTTTCTCTGAGCTCTAGTTCCCATGACCCGGTGATCGGATCGAGAGGTCTGCTGAGATTCAGGTTTGTGTAGGCACCACCATTCATAGGGGGTGGAGTGTTTTTCCATCAAGCAGCACATAATGTCTGCTTATCTCTCCTGTTACCATGTTAGCAGCCTGGCTGTTCCATTCTTAGATTCTGTGATTGTTGGTGGTATTTTAATTGTTAATCCATTTTATCCTCATTTATTTGCTAGAATATTTCTGTAAAGAGAAACTTTATTTTATCCATGTTACCTTTTAGTATAGTCTGTAGAGGAAATGTAGGACAAACTCTTACAGTTTATTTACCAGTTTTTCAAAAAAGAGTTCCCTAGCTTCCACCAAGGTGCCTGATTAAGGTTTTTTTGTTTTGTTTTGTTTTGTTTTTAAGTATTCTGAACATTCTTAAACATAAAACATTCGTTTGATCTATTACAGTTATTATTCTTACGGATGCTAAAATTGTCGTATCTTTGGCCAGTGGGAACCTCTTTCAGAGGTCCTTTTGACATATCGTGGTAGTCTTTGATAACCCCTGATGAGATGTTCCAGGCTCATTTTGTATATTTCTTGCCCATATTTGGAATCATCCATTTCTCCAAAAATATATGGTTTCTTTTAGCATGAAACGGTATTTCAAGACCTTAATCTGAGTTTTTGGAGTACTTCCTGCTACTGTTTTGGTCATTGCTTCTAGGGGGAAAATTGTGTGTGTGTGTGTGAAAATACAGTACATCATTAGTTTATATGGTGCTTCCAATTCAAATTTAGAACTACAGGGTTTTTTCTATCTTCTGTCTTACAGTTCTCTACTTTTCCATATTGAGAATCCTGGTGTTCAAGGAAGCTGGTGATGATAAAATTAAAATGTCACATAATCACTCATTTGCTTTATCCTCCTTTAAACACATGACAGTCTCAACAATATCAATACCATGCCAGCAATATGATTACTGAAAGCAGTTAAAAACAAATATTTTTTATATGCTCTCCCCACTCTTCCCATAGTTTGTGTGGTTGTACTGCATCTGCCTTGTAAGAACATGTAGTTATTATATACTATAATCTCCCCCATTTAACACTTATTATAGTCTTAACTCTTCAATTAATACATATTAAGTGTTCATCATTTCTTATGCGATTGCCTATCTAGTCATTTTTGTTGTCTTGCACATTCCCTAGTAGATTCTTCAGAAGGAGTTTATGAGAATAATGCTCCCTGAGTTTTTGTACGCAGATGGAAGTTTATCTGCAAACTTTTACTTGAGAAACAGTTTGTATAAAATTCTTGGGTCCCCTTTTCTTTCTTTGAGTAACTTAAGTTTGCTATACTGGGCATAAAGCATTGCCATTAAAGTCTGATTAAAATATGATTTTCCCTTTGCCTGGATGCTCACAGAATTTTCCCCCCAGTATTTTTCCAGTAATGTTGCTAGAGTATGTTTTTGTGTTGGTTATTCTGATTCAGTATTCCCAACTAATGTGGTGTGTTCTTTCATTAGGTAGTGTCAGATCTTTTTTTATTCTTCATTCCAGGAATTAACGTTTTTAGTATTTGTTCTATCCTCTTGTTTGGGTTTTCTTCTTTGGGGGCTATTACATATCTTCTGTATTTTCAGTTTTGCTTGGATTCTTCTATTTCTTGCTGATTTTTCCCTTTTTTAAAAAATCTTCTCTTTCACTTCAGGCATTAGCTCTTTTTGTTTATTCACTGTTAATGATCTGCCTAGTTGAGTGTTTCCTGAAATTATTTTACAAATATTACAAATTACTTCCTCAGTTTTAATACCCAATTTCTGAGTTTTTCTAATTTCAACGTATACTATTGTTGTTAGGTGCTGTTGAGTTGTTCCAACTCATAGCGACCCTATGCACAACAGAACGAAACACTGCCTGGTCCTTTGCCATCCTCACAATCATTGTTATGTTTGAGCCCATTGTTGCAGCCACTGTGTTAATCCATCGCATTGATGGTCTTCCTCTTTTTCGCTGACCCTCTGCTTTACCAAGGATGATGTCCTCCTCGAGGGACTGGTCCCTCTTGATAACATGTCCAAAGTACGTAAGATGAAGTCTCGCCATCCTCGCTATGAGGAACATTCTGGCTGTACTTCTTCCAAAACAGATTTGTTTGTTCTTCTGGAAGTCCATGGTGTATTCAATATAATTCACAAGCACCATAATTCAAAGGTGTCAATTCTTCTTTGGTTTTCCTTATTCACTGTCCAGCTTTCACATGCATAGGACACGACTGAAAATACCATGGCTCGGATCAGGCGCACCTTAGTCCTCAAAGTGACATCTTTGCTTTTTAACACTTTAAAGAGGTCTTTTGCAGCATATTTATGCAATGCAGTGTGTCATTTGATTTCTTGACTGCTGCTTCCACGGGTGTTGATTGTGGATCCAAGTAAAATGAAATTCTTGACAACTTCAATCTTTTCTCCGTTTATTGTGATGTTGTTTATCAGTCCAGTTGTGAGGATTTTTGTTATCTTTATGTTGAGGTGTAATCCATATTAAAGGCTGTAGTCTTTGATCTTCATCAGTAAGTACTCTTCAAGTCCTCTGCACTTTCAGCAAGCAAGGTTGTGTCATCTGCGTATCACATGTTGTTCATGAGTCTTCCTTGAATCCTGTTGCTGTGTTCTTCCTGATACAGTCCAGCTTCTCAGATTATTTGCTCAACATACAGGCTGAATAAGTATGGTGAAAGGATAGAACCCTGACACACACCTTTCCTGATTTTAAACCATGCAGTATCCCCTTGTTCTGTTTGAACGACTAACTCTTAGTCTGTGTACAGGTTCCTCATGAGCACAATTAAGTGTTCTGAAATTCCCGTTCTTCACAGTGGTATTCATAATTTGTTATGATCCACACAGTTGAATGCCTTTGCATAGCCAGTAAAACATGGATAAACATCTTTTTGGTATTCTCTGCTTTAAGGCAAGATCCATCTGACATCAGCAACGATATCTCTTGTTCCACATCCTCCTCTGAATCTGGTTTGAATTTTTGGCAGTTCCCTGTTGATGTACTGTTGCAACTGTTTTTGGATTATCTTTAACATAATTTTACTTGTGTGTGATATTAATGATATTGTTCAATCATTTCCACATTTCGTTGGACTGCCTTTCTTCGGGATGGGTAAAAATATGGATCTCTTCAAATTGGTTGGCGAGGTAGCTATCCTCCAAATTTCTTGGCATAAACAAGTGAACACTTAAGCATTGCATGCATTTGTTGAAACATCTCAGCTGGTATTCTGTCAATTCCTGGAGCCTTGTTTTTCACCGATGCCTTCAGTGCAGCTTGAACTTCTTCCTTCAGTACCATTGGTTGAATGTCGACCAATTCTTTTTGGTACAGTGACTGTATATTCCTTCCATCTTCTTTTGATATTTCCTGGGTCATTCAGTTTTTTTGCATGTAGAATGTTTCAGTATTGCAACTTGAGGCTTGAATTTTTTCTTCAATTCTTGAGAAATGGTGAGCATCTTCTTCCCTTTTATTTTTCTAACTCCAAGTCTTTGCACGTTTTATTGTAATAATTGACTTTGTCTTCTCAGGCTGCCCTTTGAAATCTTCTGTTCAGCTCTTTTACTTCATCATTTCTTCTACTCTCTTTAGCTATTCTACATAAAGAGCAAGTTTCAGAGTCTCTTCTGACATCCATTTTGGTCTTTCTTCCTTTCCTATCTTTTTAATGACCTTTTGCTTTCTTCATGTATGATATCCTTGATGTCATCCCACATCTTATCTGGTCTTTGGTCATCAGTGCTCAGTGTGTTCAATCTGTTCTTGAGATGGTCTCTACCTTCAGTGGGATATTCTCAAGGTCGTACCTTGGCTCTCGTGGACTTGTTTTAATTTTCTTCAGCTTCAACTTGAACTTGCATATAAGCAATTGATAGTCTGTTCTGTAATTGGCCCTCGGCCTTGTTCTGGCTGATGATATCGAACTTCTCCATCGTCTCTTTCCACAGATGTAGTCGATTTGATTCTTGTTTATATTATTACATAGTTTATATTATTGATTCATATTTTGTATCATTTTCTTTATTTTAGCTCACTTTGAGGTTTTAAGTTATAGTTGTCATCTGTTTCCTGGGTATGTCTTTCTGGTGTGCTTTTGTTATCTGTAGGAATTGTATTTGCTCCGAATTCTCTTTTTTCTTATAGTAACATTATATGCAGTTTCACCTAGATTATCTTCTGTTACTCATTTTTATATTAAATTAATTTTCCTGTTCTTTTAGAAGAGACATGTGGTCAGGGTAGGTTTTCTGATGTTATTCTCTAGACATCCCTCTTCTGTTTTGGTGGTGTTAAGAAATAAGGCAGCTTACTTCCTGAGATCTTCTGGTTCTGCTCTCCTCCCCCACTTTTGTCTGGATTTGTCTCCATTGTTCTTTTGTTGCGCAATTTTGATTCTATTCCCGGTATTCCTCAGTATACGTTGTTGGCTGGTCAGTTTTGAGAGTTCACAGCATGCATCAGCGCTTTCAGCCTTCATCACTTTATCATGGACTCCACACACTTGCCCATTAGGTGAGGGTGGAAAAATTCTACCAGTTTCAGCTGCTGCTATCCAGTTGGCCCTCTGAGCTGTCCTGTTGAGTTTGTTCATCATGTTGGGGTATCGGGACCATCAGGTGCCCTGTGGCTTCCTTCTACTTCCCTTGCACAGATCCTGCTACCTAATTGGTCTTGTTACTGTTATGGTTTGTTCCCACCCACTTGTATATTTTGGGGTTTGTGGGGATATCCTGTTACCTAGGTTTATGGTAGATCTTTACCATGGTTTTTCTTTACTAGTTGCTTTGTGTGTATGTAGAGTTTCATCAGAGAAGCAGGGTATGGGGAGATTAAAAAACTCTGCCACTGGTCCTTTCATCTTGCCTGAATCTCCTGGGATAGCTTCAATAGTTTCTTATTTGTAGTATGGTTAAATCATGACTCTATTGCTGTATAGCTTAATTTAGTGCCACTCTTACCAGTAAGACCAATTGCCATTGAGTATCATGCTTATTCACTTTATGATTTAAAAAAAATTTAGCTTTTGTTTTTTTTTTTAAATTGTTCTTGTATTGTTTTCCTTTCTTGCTTTTAAATCTTTGACCCCTCTGGAATTTTATTTTGTTGTCAGAGATTTTGTTGGAAGGGATCTAGCTTCTTTTTTTCCAAAATACCTAGCCAATTTTTTCAACACTATTTGTTTTGATGTTTTGAATTCAGAATTATTACATGTATTTAGTCTTTGTTGCAATTGGTATTCCATCAGTTCCTGGAGCCTTGTTTTTTGCCATTGCCTTCAGTGCAGGTGGGACTTCTTCCTTCAATACTATTGGTTCTTGATCGTATGCTACCTCCCAAAATGGTTGAATGTCGACCAGTTCTTTTTGGTAGTGACTGTGTTTTCCTTCCATCTTGTTTTGACGCTTCTTGTATCATTCAATATTTTGTGTATAGAATCCTTCAGTGTTGCAGTTTGAGGCTTGAATTGTTTTCTTCAGTTCTTTCAGTTTGAGAAATGCTAAGTGTGTTCTTCCCTTTAGGTTTTCTAACTCCAGGTCTTTACACATTTCATTATAATACTTTATGTTGTCTTCTCGAGCCACCCTTTGAAATCTTCTGTTTAGCTCTTTTACTTCATCATTTCTTCTGTTAGCTTTAGCTGCTGTATGTTCAAGAGCAAGTTTCAGAGTCTCTTCTGACATCTGTTTTGTCTTTCCTTTCTTTTTAATGACCTTTTTGCTTTCTTCATGTATGATGTCCTTGATGTCATTCCATAACTCACGTGGTCTTCGGTCATTAGTGTTCAGTGCAGTAAATCTGTTCTTGAGATGGTCTCTAAATTGAGGTGGGATATCCTCAAGGTTGTATTTTGGCTTTTGTGGACTTGTTTTTTTTCTTCAGCTTCAACTTGAACTTGCGTGTGAGTAATTGATGGTCTGTTTTGTAACTGGCCTCTGGCCTTGTTCTGACTGATGATATTGAGCTTCTCCATTGTCTCTTTCCACAGATGTAGTCTATTTGATTCCTGTGTATTGCATCTGGCGAGGTCCATGTGTATAGTTGCTGTTTATGTTGTTGAAAAAAGGTATTTGCAATAAAGAAGTCGTTGGTCTTGCAAAATTCTATTATGTGATCTCCGATGTCGTTTCTGTCACCAAGGCCATATTTTCCAACTACTGTTCTTTGTTTCCAACTTTCGCATTCCAATCAGCAGTAATTATCAGTACATCTTGATTGCGTATTTGATCCAGTTCAGACTACAGAAGTTGGTAAAAATCTTCAGTTTCTTCATCTTTGGTATTAGTGGTTGGTGCGTAAATTTGAGTAACAGTTGCATTAATTGGTCTTACTTGTAGTCATATGGATATTATCCTATCACTGACAGCATTGTACTTCAGGATAGATCTTGAAATGTTCTTTTTGATGATGATTCTGATGCCATTCCTCTTCAATTTGTCATTCCCAGCATAGTAGACCGTATGATTGATTCAAAATGGCCAATACCAGTCCATTTCAGCTCACTAATGCCTAGGATATCGATCTTTATGCGTTCCATTTAATTTTTTATGACTTCCAGTTTTCCTAATTCATACTTTATTCATTCCATGTACCGATTATTAATGGATGTTTGCAGTCATTTCTTCTCATTTTGAGTCATGCTACATCAGCAAATGAAGGTTCCAAAAGAAGACTCCAGGAATAGATGGAATACCAATTGAGATGTTTCAACAAATGCATACAGTGCTGGAAATGGTCATTCATCTATGCCAAGAAATTTGGAAGAGTTGGCCAACTGACTGGAAGAGATCCATATTTATGCCCATTACAAAAAAGAGTGATCCATCAGAATCTGGAAATTATCGAACAATATCATTAATAGCAACATGCCAGTAAAATTTTGCTGAAGATAAT